AGATGTGAATAATCAATCACACCAGTCTGATATCAGATGTGAATAATCAATCACATCAGTCTGATCTCAGATGTGAATAATCAATCACACCAGTCTGATATCAGATGTGAATAATCAATCACATCAGTCTGATCTCAGATGTGAATAATCAATCACACCAGTCTGATCTCAGATGTGAATAATCAATCACATCAGTCTGATCTCAGATGTGAATAATCAATCACATCAGTCTGATCTCAGATGTGAATAATCAATCACATCAGTCTGATCTCAGATGTGAATAATCAATCACATCAGTCTGATCTCAGATGTGAATAATCAATCACATCAGTCTGATCTCAGATGTGAATAATCAATCACATCAGTCTGATCTCAGATGTGAATAATCAATCACATCAGTCTGATCTCAGATGTGAATAATCAATCACATCAGTCTGATCTCAGATGTGAATAATCAATCACATCAGTCTGATCTCAGATGTGAGGAATCACACCAGTCTGATCTCAGATGTGAATAATCAATCACACCAGTCTGATCTCAGATGTGAATAATCACACCAGTCTGATCTCAGATGTGAATAATCACACCAGTCTGATCTCAGATGTGAATAATCAATCACACCAGTCTGATCTCAGATGTGAATAATCACACCAGTCTGATCTCAGATGTGAATAATCAATCACACCAGTCTGATCTCAGATGTGAATAATCACACCAGTCTGATCTCAGATGTGAATAATCAATCACACCAGTCTGATCTCAGATGTGAATAATCACACCAGTCTGATCTCAGATGTGAATTTTCACACCAGTCTGATCTCAGATGTGAATAATCACACCAGTCTGATCTCAGATGTGAATAATCAATCACACCAGTCTGATCTCAGATGTGAATAATCACACCAGTCTGATCTCAGATGTGAAGTTTCACACCAGTCTGATCTCAGATGTGAATCACTGTGTTGTTTGTACTCCAATCTCGCCGGGGTGGGCTCTGATTTCCCCGGTGCCACTTGGTTCCTTTGCAGATTGTCCTTTTCCTCTCGGGCTGTCCCTGCTGCAACCTCTGCTTGCTCAATGCATGTAACCAGTTTTTATTTACTTATGTACACATAGAAAGAAACCCGAATTATCCATTAATATACCACAGAAGGGTTTTACTGGTTTCATTTCTGTTGAAGCTCGTGGTGCTCTGCTGGAGCCGCTGCCCTGGGGCAGGAGATGCCCGGGCTCACACAAACCATGGGTGGAAAGGCTGCTCTTCCTCAGGAAACTGGGAAGGTTTAGGGGAGAGGCCAAGCCCTCCTTTAAACAGTAAAATTCCTGTTTTTTCTCTGTTTAAAATCCAGTGCAGGCTCTGATGGCCAGAGACTGGGGGAAGGTGAGCTCAGTGTCCTGCAGGAGAGCTGCAGGCAGTGACTGGGGCTCCAGCACTGGGAAGCGATTTGCAAACAGAAAGGGATTAAATTTGTTAGATTAGAAAACATTTCTGAGATGAATCATTTGATTGCTGCTTCCACGGGGTAAATATGCACTTCATCCATCACATCCCACGTGGGTGGTGGGAAAATACAGGATATTGGCTGCTGCTGGAGCTGGAAACAGCTCTGGGGAAGGTTCCAGACAAAGTGTGCAGCATCCCAGAGCAGTTCCCAGGGACAGGGGACAGGGGAGAGCTGTGGGTGCTGTGGGTGCTGCAGGAGCTGTGGGTGCTGCAGGAGCTGTGGGTGCTGCAGGAGCTGTGGGTGCTGTGGGTGCTGCAGGAGCTGCAGGAGCTGCAGGAGCTGTGGGTGCTGTGGGTGCTGCAGGAGCTGCAGGAGCTGCGGGTGCTGCAGGAGCTGCAGGAGCTGCAGGAGCTGTGGGTGCTGTGGGTGCTGCAGGAGCTGCAGGAGCTGCAGGAGCTGTGGGTGCTGTGGGTGCTGCAGGAGCTGCAGGAGCTGTGGGTGCTGGGGATGTCCCAGGACCACAAAGCCCAGCCCATCCCACCCTGTGGTCCTGGAGGTCTTTTCCAACCTCAGAGATGCTGGGAATTCTTTCTGAGGAATTTTTTCCTGGCAAGCCACACAGGGAGAGCAGGAGTTGGTGCAGTCAGCTCTGGGTGCAGGGAGAGGAGGAGGAGGAGGAGGAGGAGGCTTTTCTCTCCTGTGGGAAGAATTCACAGCACTAACATTTCCCTCCAAGCTCTGGATGTGTGAGTGTGAATAAACAGTGGGACAGTGCAATTAATGAAATGATAAATGCGATCTCGGACAATGATCACTAATTAAAGTTCCAAAGGGATGTTTATTCACTGCTGGGCAGTAGGGGATCGTCCCCAAAAGGTGTGACCGCCCCAAACAAGGTTCTGCTCCCTCTGTTTGTTCCCCAAACCCTTCCATCCCCATCCATCCACACCTTCCAGCCCATCTGGCCACCCCCAGCACCTCCCATCCCCACTCAGCATTAAAATGAGCCCCTGGGTCCCTCACCCTGCTCAGTTCTTCTCTTGGTTTGGGTGGCTGGGCTGGACTTGGGTCAGTGGCCTCAAGGGATGGAGCCAGGAAAGTCTTCCTCAGGTGAGTGTGAGCTGTGGCAGGATCCAGGGAAGTCAGGAATGTTTTCCTCAGGTGAGTGTGAGCTGTGGCAGGATCCAGGGAAGTCAGGAATGTTTTCCTCAGGTGAGTGTGAGCTCTGGCAGGATCCAGGGAAGTCAGGAATGTTTTCCTCAGGTGAGTGTGAGCTCTGGCAGGATCCAGGGAAGTCAGGAATGTTTTCCTCAGGTGAGTGTGAGCTCTGGCAGGATCCAGGGAAGTCAGGAATGTTTTCCTCAGGTGGGTGTGAGCTCTGGCAGGATCCAGGGAAGTCAGGAATGTTTTCCTCAGGTGAGTGTGAGCTCTGGCAGGATCCAGGGAAGTCAGGAATGTTTTCCTCAGGTGAGTGTGAGCTCTGGCAGGATCCAGGGAAGTCAGGAATGTTTTCCTCAGGTGAGTGTGAGCTCTGGCAGGATCCAGGGAAGTCAGGAATGTTTTCCTCAGGTGAGTGTGAGCTCTGGCAGGATCCAGGCCCTGCTCAGGGATGGGCTGGGGCAGAGCCCAGGTGCTGCCCTTGCTCTCCCTGGGTTCCCTCTGTTCCTGGAACCACTCACTGCACTTCTGTCAACAATAGAACAATTAGCTCTGGCTTAAGCATCTCATAATCATTAACCTGCCATTTGCTCATCTGACTTTCATCTCGATCATTATAAATTGCTTCTAACTCTTGGCTAAAACCTTAACTCTTCAGAAATCCTGATTCAATGGAGTCCCAGAGTGGTTTGGGCTGGGAGGGACCGTAAATCTCATCTCATTCCACGCCAGGGAGCAGGGACAGCTCCCCCAGCCCCGGCTGCTCAGCCTGGCTGTGATGGACTGGATCCAGCTGCTGCAGAAATACAGTGGGAAAGAAACACGTGGTAGAAAAACCTCCATGAATTGGAGCTTTCTCTGCCTCTCCCACCCTGCTGTTCATTAGAATCCAGTTCAAAACGTTCACAGGACTTTGAAAGAGGCTCCTTGCCTTCCCTGGATGGCACCAGACCCTACAGAACTCCTCCTGCAGGGATCCCAACCTCAAAGTGCCACTTCCCGGTGACATCCCATTCCTCTGCTCTGTAAATGGGGAATTTTTATCCCACAGCTTCTCTCAGAACCCTTTCAGATTTAACGCTGAGATCATTAATTAAATGAATGGTTATTCTCAGGCTTTGTTTCTGAACAATTTCAGCCTGATGTTTCCAGTTTTCTTATTCCTGAATGGAATGTCATTTTCCACTTAAACAATACTGCCAGATGCTTAAGCCACCAAATCACCATTTCCTCCCTTCACTTTCTATGGCTGTGCTATTTTAATGTTTCATCAAAGGGATGAGCTCTATTGCATCCCCTTCTTCTCCTGGATTTCCTTCATGTAGAAAGCTCTTTATAAAATAAAAAAGTCCCCTTAGTCTGTTGCACTTTGTATTATCCTCATTACCTTCCTTCAGCTTTTAAAATTGTTTCAAAGCCTTAAATTCCAAGGTGGGCGCGGGGGTGAGTCTGAATTTGCCTAATTCATTCCCCACATTTCCTGAAGAGTGGTTAATTTCTGGAAGGAGATGCAGATTTCCCAGTGCCACAGCATCTCTTCCTGATGGCTCCTGGGTCCTGCTCACAGCCCTGGGTCCATCCAGGTTTTCCTCTGCCCGTTCTCCCATCGCTGCTCTGCCTTTCCCCACGTGCTGGATGTGGAGAGCTGGAGCACAGAGGTGTTGAGCCAGGCTTAGACATCCTCCACCCCCCTCACCCCTCGGGCAGGCCCAGGCTCCTCCAGCAGCTCCCAGAATAAAGCTGCTCCTGCCTCTTCTCCCTGTCCTGGCATCCCCTCACTTCCAGCCCCAGGGAGGAGCTCCCTTGTCCCTGCTGGACACCCTGGGCTGGGCTGGAGGAGGAGCCATGGGATGGGATCCATGGGATGGGATGGACTGGGATGGACTGGGATGGGATGGGCTGTCAGGTCCCTTCCCACCCAAACCATTGGGGCACTCTGGGAATGGGGGAATATGAAGTTCTATGAAGCCTCTGAGGAGAAGCTGGTTTGGACTCTCTGTGTCTGGATGGTTTTCCTGGGAAGAGTCTCCTGGCTCCTGAAGTCAGCAGCAGAAAGTGGCTGTGCCTCAGGAACAGGGCAGGAGTTTTCCATGGAGCACAGGTTGCTGCTGACCCTCAGGGCTGAGGCTGCAGGAGGAAGGGCTGGGCCAGCAATATCTGAGGTTTTCCTGCTGCTGCTGCTCCCCCGGGCTCTCCCAGCAGCAGCAGCGGGCAGGAGGCACAGGCACACACATCTGTTTGGAAGCTGGGCTCTGGGGCGTGGGTGATTCCGAGTTAACAAATGGTTCCCAGGCTGAGTTCAACGCTGGAAATCACAGCTGTGTCCAGCCCAAACCCAGCAGCAGCCAGAGGCACTGAGCAGCTCCTCCCCGTGCTCACAGCTTCCCTTTCCCCAGGTGTTACCTGGAAGATGGAACCTCCAAAGGGGCCTGGCTGAACCGCTCCAGCATCATCTTCGCGGGCAGTGACAAGTGGTCCGTGGATCCCCGCGTGTCCATCGCCACGGACAACAGGAGGGAGTACAGCCTGCAGATCCAGGACGTGGATGTGACCGATGATGGGCCCTACACCTGCTCTGTGCAGACCCAGCATACACCCAGGACCATGCAGGTGCACCTGACTGTGCAAGGTGAGCCCCCCTTCCCTTCCCTTCCCTTCCCTTCCCTTCCCTTCCCTTCCCTTCCCGCACCTTC